TTATTATTATTATTATTATTATTATTATTATTATTATTATTATTATTATTATTATTATTATTATTATTATTATTATTATTATTATTAAAGTTGGAAGGGACCTTGGAGGTCATCTAGTCCAACCCCCTGCTCAGGCAGGAAACCCTATACCATTTTGGACAAATGGCTGTCCAGTCTCTTCTTAAAAACCTCCAGTGTTGGCGCATTCACCGCTTCTGGAGGCAGGTTGTTCCACTGGTTAATTGTTCTAACTGTCAGGAAGTTTCTCCTTAGTTCTAGGTTGCTTCTCTCCTTGCTTAGTTTCCACCCGTTGTTTCTTGTCCTGCCTTCAGGCGCCTTGGAAAATAGCTTGACACTCTCTTCTTTGTGGCAGCCCCTGAGGTCATATCATAAAAAGACAAAAAAATACAAAGAGTCTTTTTGAAATTGAGCAGCCTTAATGGATCTAATAAACGCATAGCAAGGTTTTTTAATTCACATCTTTATTAATCTATGGAAATTCTTACATTGAAATGATCCATATAAATAAGAAATAATGTTAACAAGAGGATAATAGGGAGTTTCATAGTAACGTTTCTTCATTGTAACCTGTGCCATAAAAATTAGCTTCTACCTCCAATCTGCTAGGAATTTCCATCCTTTAGGCTAATGAACATAACTGGGATGCTGTAACAGCATTCAATTATCCATGGCTCTTGCTATCCTATTGCATACCTTACACACCCAGCCAGATGTGTTCTTGTTAGCTGTGGAGGATTTTGAAAATAGAGGGAGCATATTTTGCCATAGAAAAAAGTAGGAGAAAGGTGTGCTACTGCTGCCTTAGCAAGAAGAAAGCTGGAGACTCAAAGAAAGAGGACCCATCAGGGCAACAAAGTAATGGCTGGCAACCAAAATGGACTTTAGATAATTTTGAATGGTTTTAATTCCGAAGAGCCAAAGACTAGATTTTTAAAGTAGAAGGGAGTGTGATTCAGGGATTCCTACTAGGATTGTACATCCTTTGAAAATAATCTGGAAAAACTACTTTGGACTTGTGAACTCTCAAGCTTAACCTTGTGAACGCTCAAGCTTCCTCCTTCCATTATATATTCAAGATGGACAGTATTTAATATTTATTTGCTATGTATATGTAGGGATATGGGTCTATACATATGTTGTTCATAGTATGTTTAGGTATGTGTCATTATTATTATTATTATTATTATTATTATTATTATTATTAATTTAATTTATATACCGCCCTTCTCCCGCAGGACTCAGGGCGGTGCACAGCGTATTAAAAACAGTACAAATACAAAGCATAAAAATACAAACCCCTGTAAAACCAGATTAAAAAACCGAATATTAGAAGTAAAAAAAATGACAATAAAGGTTATCTTATCTATCTCATCTTATCTTAATAACAAAAGTGATGCTTTCATGAACAGCAGAAAGGTGCATGAAGTTTAAAACCCTTCTGAATAATTTTTGAAGCACGCAGAGTCCTAACATTTTAGACAGTAACATCAGTCATAAACCCTTGAAAATATAAAACTCACTAGAACTGAGACGCGTCAAGTTGGTCAAGTCTGGACTACTGTTGCATCCTTCTGATTGGGGAACACTTAACAGAATAACAGAGCTGGAAGACACCCTGAATGTCTTCTAATCCAATCCCTGCTCGAGCAGGGAACCCTATATCATTTCAGACAAATGGTTGTCCAATCTCTTCTTCAAAACCTCCAGTGTTAGAGCACTTACTAGGTAGGAGAAATCATAATAATTTCTTTTCTTTTTCATTATCAATGATTTGTACTTTTTTTTTCATCTGCAGATCATGTTGAAAGTAGAGACCAAAGATCTTCCCCTAAAAAAGAACTGTGTCTGAGAGACTATCAGATGGAAGTGGCCAAACCAGCCTTGGAAGGGAAAAATATTATTATATGCCTCCCCACAGGCACTGGCAAGACTCGGGTTGCTGTTTACATTGCCAAAGACCACTTAGATACAAAAAGAAAAGCAAAAGATTGTGGAAAGGTTGTAGTTCTTGTCAACAAGGTAAACCACCCTGTGATAAATGGTAACAGCAATTAATGTTGTCTATGGTGACATCAAGATGGGAGTTCAGGCTCTGGTTAGCAGAATGAATGGTGAAGTCCCAAAATGTAGAAGTTTTATCACTAGACTTTCATCTCTCATGAGCAATATAAACTACCTGGGCCTCGTTTATTTAATCAAACGTATTATGGCTGCCTACTCCAGAAGACTCTGAGCAGAGTCTTACAACATTTTACAAAATCAAAATCCTTTCTGTGATTCAAGTTCTGAAAAAGCCAAATTCTATACTGATCTGAAGGGTCTCCACCCATCTTCTCTTTGTGTCCTTTCCAGACTGAGCTTCAGTGCTAACAGCTAAACCATTATTGCTTGGTTTTGTAATCCTCATGAGGTCTTAAGTAAAATCAAGTGCATAAATGAATACGAGTAAGAAGGGTGAAGCTATTCATGCTGGCCTTTCCTCAAAGGAATGAAGGAAATTCTGCCTCTGTTTGCTTAAATATGACTAAAACTCTTTGGTTGATCTGGAAAAAAATGCAGGAGTCCTGGTTGCATGAACTTTTCTACTTGGGTTGATGTCCTGTTACTAGGTTTAATTATTGGATATGTACTTATTTACCAAATTTCTATCCTGTTGCATTCTAAACAAATTATTAGCAGCATATAACAAAGCAAAACACAAGATATATACCAAAAGACCAATACCTACGCCCACTAAAAATAATTAAATGACATCACACTCCAAACACTCTCCAGAAGAGTCCTGTCTTTCTCTTCTCCTTGAAAATGAAAAAACATCAGAGCTAAATCAATCCCCAAGGAAAGGCCAACCCAGATAGCCAGCCCTACAGTAAAAAAAAATGCTTTGGAACCCTTGACCTTCCCCAAATGGGAAACAACCAGCTGCTTTTTCCAGCACCATCAGATTCTCCCATGCAAATTAACTAGAGGCTGAGTCTACAGGTCTTTTAAATAATAAAAAAAATGGTTTTGGAAGCTAACAAGGAGTCAGTGCTCCTTATTAGCTTCCCACTCCCCATAAGGCAGTGGTTCTCAACCTTTTTAATGCCGCGACCCCAAACGGTCATAAGTCGAGGACTAAACCGGTCATAAGTCGAGGACTAAACCGGTCGTAAGTCGAAGACTAAACCGGTCGTAAGCCGAGGACTACCCAACCGGTTGTAAGTCGAGGACTTTCCCTGCCTGGGAGCGCCGCGCATGCGTGGTTCCGCCCCCTGCGCTGGCCGAGGCGTAGCTGGCAAGCGGCAGAGACGGAGCAGGCCGACCACCAGCTGGCCCAGCCCAAGGGAGGTAAGGCACCTGCCGGAAAAGGGGGAAAAATGGCGGACAAAAAAAATGGCGGACAGCCTTGCTTGGCGACCCCCATGAAATGGTC